AAACCCTTCCCTTTCTCTTCTCACATATCCCCTCCGAGGGGAGGAGGGAGGGGAGGATGCCACTATACAGGCTCCCTGGGCCCACCTGCCCCATCCAAGGTGGGCTCCACCCTGGCAGTCCCAGGGCACCTGCCCACTCCGGGCCCAGTGCTGTTCTAGCAGTTTCCGTGACTAACCTCCCAACGACTCTTGAGGGTCTTAGAACCCTCGGGCCTGCGGAGCAGCGGGAGTTCCTCTCCGCTAACCCGCCCTGCCCTGCCCTGCAGCCCGTGGCCGCGCCGGCTGCCGTCTCTGCACGCCCCAGCACCTCCTGACACGCACGGGCCAGCCCGGCCTTGGCGGGAGGCGCAGGCCCAGGCCTGGCCCAGAGGCCTCAGGCGCCTGAGGCCGGCACGGCAGAGGGGCTGGGAGACAGCCGGGGGCCGGAGCACAGAGCCGGGCACCTGCCCTGAAGGGGGGACCACCGCCGGGCACGGGGCGGGCACCCCCGGGCTCTCCTGGTCGGGGGCGCACACGCGGGCTGGCGGGTGGCCCGGCCCCTCCCCCCGAGACCCTCCGGGCCGTGGCCGGGACCCCCGAGAGCCGACTCACTGGCTTCCGTATCTCGTCTTCTTGAACTTGTCCCTCCGGTACTGGGCGTGCTCCTGCTCCAGGGCCCCGACGCCGGCGATGAGCTGCCTCAGCGTCTTGTACGTCTCCTGGGGGTCGTCGATGACGAACGTGGAGTACTCCTCCTGCTCGGGGCCGGCGTACACGGACTTGCTCCCGCAGGCCTCTGGGGACCGGGCAGGGCAGGGCGGTCAGCGCCCTCGGGCGCTCCAGGTAACATTCCAGAACGAGCGAGGGCCCGAGGTCGGCAGGGCAGAGGCCACGCCACGTGGCACGCGGGGGACGAGACCACCCACCTGCCGTGCTCGGCACCGTGGCGCGGCACACGCAGGGGAGGGGACGGGGCGGGTGGGGCAGACCCCGTGGTCGAGCGTGGGGAGACAGAGTTCAGCTGATACAGTGCAGCGTCTCGAAGCAACCAGGACAAAACCGCTCGCCCCGAGAAAGCTTGGGGACTGCAGGGCTGACGCTGCCGGGGGCTCGAGCCGAGACAGAACCTCACCAGGCGTCCAGCCAAGCGGGGTCCACTGACCACGCCACCAAGAGGGCTCCTTACTGGGAGGTGACCGAGTGTGAGGGCGCTTCCACGTGTCCACTATCAGCCCTTTGCCTGTCCCACAAACACCCGCCTGTCCACCCACTCACCTGTCCATCTACCTGCCCCCACCCATATGCCCATCCATTTGTCCATGCATCCATTGTGCACCCATCCATCC